GAAGAAGTAATCGAAGCTGTAAATGGTTATTTTGAGGAGCTTGACGAATCAGTCTATAGAGATGGCATTAATAGACTGGAACACCGCTATGAGAAATGTATCAGCCTTGGAGGAGATTATGTTGAGAAATAAAAAAAAAAAATTTTTAAAAACCTTGTTTTTCTTGGTCAGGCCGGAAACTTATCAATCCACCCTCGTATTAAGTACCTATTAGGTATAAGATTCGCGTGTAGTTAAAATTCGACCAATTTGCTTGCAAATCAAATAATCTAAACTTCTGATAATTTGAACGAACCACAAACATAAAATTGTTACAATCGAAGCAATTCGTATGTATTTGGATCTGCCCTGGTGAACAAAGCCCTTCGTTAATTCCCGACCGATACAATACCTTTAACCACAAAAAAAAAACACTTAGAAAACTGTTTCACTTAGTTTATTAATATCTCTATATTACTGAAAGAACTTAGTGAAACAGGTTTTCTAAGTGATTTTTTTTAGTTAAAATTTATTAAGATGTTTCACCAAGAAATCACAGCCTACATGTTGGGCACTACCTTTCTTTTTTTAATTTTTAATTTTACACACAAATTATTTTGTGCACAGTACCTTACAGAGTGCGTATATAGGATCTGTAGATTTAGAAAAAGCTTTTGAAAATGTTAAACGGGACAAGATGTTAAATATACTTAAAAATCTAGGGATGACTTATACGAGATAGAAGAGTTTGCATAAAGACATTTATAGAGCTGGGGCTGCAACGTAAATATTGAAAGATGTTAGACAGGGATGCACACTGTCACCGCTACTTTTTAATCTATACATCGAAGACGCAATCAACATCATTAAAGAGAGTACAACTGTAGGGATAGATATTCTTGGACAAAAGAATAGTATGATTAGATTTGCAAATGACACAGCAGTATTAGCATTTAGCAAGTAAGAGTTAGAAATAGCTTTAAATAAAATGGAAGCGGTATTGACAAAACAGTACTGTATGAAAATAAATAAAAGTAAAACAAAAATACTGGTATACAAGGGAAGAAAAAGTAGAGAAAGAGCTAATATAAAGATAGGAGACGAAATATTAGATGTGGCTGATTTTGAGGTATCTAGAAAATCAGATAAGAGTCAGGGCGGAAGGAGTAGTAGGGATATAAAGCAGAGGATTCGAAAAAGATTGCGAAATGCGAAGATTAGCTCAGGATAGCAAGGAGTGGAGATGTGTGTCCAACCAGTCTTAGGACTGACGACCTTATGATGAGTACCTTTCGATTGATTTAAGTTTCCTTTTATAATTAATATATGGGATAAAACCTGGACAAACTTCGAATTTCGCGAATTTCTCTTTTTAAAGCTTGAAATAAATGTTTAAACGCGCATTACATCAGCAAGTATTTGCACATGTATATAATTATAATAATGTAAAAGTGTGTCGGTAAGCAGCTGATGTTATAAACAAATGCTGAAAAACTGAAACACTCTCGATACACGGTCATCATAAAAATTACTTAACAGCACATTATTATGCCTTTTTACGATAGATACGCTTTACACGCGCTGATCAAATGTGTCACTTCCACGTTAGCATATTTTTTCTCTGTGTTAAAATAGAGAGAGAGATAGAAAGAAAGAGGCTTGTTTCAGGAAACTCAACAGTATGTACCTCAGCTTCTGAGAAAGTATGAAATTCTTTCGCCGCCTTTGGTATCCCGCACAACACACGTAACGCATTACGATTCGAGTAGAAGCAGCAGCTTTCATTTCGTAGCCACTCTTCCTTATTAATATGGTATAAAAAATAGTTTTATCAAATTAACTTCTCAATTAAATACATGTGTGGGTATACGTATGTAGGTACATTTTGCATTTTCTATTTCAAAAAGATGGTAACAGCCTAACAACTATTTACTACCAGTAAATAAAACTTGATAAGGCAATAAACATACCTAAATAGGAAAATTCTAGCACCCCAGTATCTAACAAAAGTGCAACAATAAGTTGCAAAAGTTTTTCATTTTCAGCAACTGATATAGTATTACTGAGTCACCAGGAGAAGGGGGAAAACTGTGATAAGGTAACAACTATTATGTGTCCTATGGATATTATATTTCAATTGTTCAAAAGCAATGCACATATGCCTATATACTGCCAATAACACTTACACAAATACATACACCGTACCTATGTACGCTACATATTATTTGATCATGCATATTCATATACGGAAATAAATACTTGCGATACATCACGTTATACAACTATTTATAGAAGAAAACTTGTCCAACATTTAGCATTCCTTGCTATGATTTGCGCATTTCAGTTGTGGTAAATTGTACTAATTGGAGGAGCAATGGATATTTATTTATTCTTCGAAGAGGGTAGCGCACAAGCTTGCAAGAGGTCAATTGAAATCAATGGACAAATTAAAATACAAAATGTACGTTATGTTACTTAACATTGGCTTTGTGTACCTATGTGTATGATTAAGTTGATGACGAGGATTCGCACGCGTGATGATTCAAGATTTTTTTTGGTTACCGTTCTCCAAGTTGGTTTACGATTAAATGATTCACGCCGCTTAGACTAGGTAATTACACATCAAGGAATAGAAAGGAAGATTTCTGCCTATCAGTAAGATAAAAAACCATTAGGTTTAATTATGTCATTTTAAAAAGAACTAACTCTAAACGGATAATATTCTAACTTAATAGTTTTCCAAGTTCAGATTCAGCACAGGTGCTTCTGCTTTAACAAGTTATTTTTGGAGGTCTATTCCATTTACAGACCAACTCTACCAGCTACCTTTAAGCAGCGTTTTATGAATTACTACAAACAGAGCGGTAAACGCCATCTGTAGTATATTTCTACCTTTAATGGATTTCAAAAATAAGATACATAAGAATATGAACTTGTGGAACTGAATCCACTGTGTAACCAACCTTACGTGATTGGCACGTAACCTTGTTGAACATTTTTGAATTCCTCTGAAGGTAGCAATGTACTACATGTACTAAATTAGAAAAACCCAAATCCTGTTTCTTTTAGCATGCTCCGGATGCAGATCAATATTGTTAACATTATAGCCGGGTCTTTTTGATATGTGGGTAACAAAGTTACCGAGTATGATTTGCATTACATCTACGGCATATCACCTTCCAAATTATACGTGTTGTATATACTAATATGTATAATTATCGTCAGTAATTGCTCTTTACTACTATCTAGATAAAAAGTACACAGGTATTTGTACTTTCCAATAAAATAAAATCAGATAACTGAGAATATCGAGAATAATATCTGGAGCACTGCGTGTGGTATATTGGATAAATATTGATTTATCTGATTTTCAATATCAAAAATGAGAGGCATCGAACAGTAGCTCGCAGTGCAATACTAACGTACAGATATTTCAAAATCAGCGCATTTAGTGATATGTCATGAAGAAACATTTTCATGCGGTTCTATTCCACATTAATGCCCGAATGATGTAACTAAGTATTTTTTTAGACATAATTCACTTACTTAAATGTGAAGGAGATACTTTCACTTTCGACTGTTAACATGCCGTAATTCCTCCAGTTTCTATAATGAAAGGAACTAAGCGCAATGTAGGTACATTATCGACAAATTCCGTCATCAGCGTATCTCCGAATCCGAATATCAAAATCTTAGTATGTATAAACTGATGAAGTTATTAAAACACGTTGTAGTATAATAATATAGGAAATTGTAGAAATGTTAATATAATGTAGGTAGATGCAAGCAAGGTCATCGCAAATATGTGTTATTTAATTTTAAATAATGTAAAACTGACAATTATTAAATTAACATTGTTACCTGAAAGTTCAATGTATCGTAAAACTATTATCACGAGTTTATAGGTACCATAACCAGATGGTAAAGATTACAATCCGAGAACGTGTTCTAAAAAATAAATATCTATCTGTTTGAACTCTTTCACAACATTACATGCTATAGGTATCAAACAAAGCACTTTTCTTGCTTGTGTAATAATTCACTCACGTCATTTCGTTAAGCGGCAATATGATTAAAGTTGCAATCCTTCCTTCAGCCTTCATCCATTACAAAAAAAAAGCGAATTGATAAGGTCACCATCGTTTCAATGAGAAACACTTTCAAACAGGAAACAACAGTATAAGGAACGTACATAGGTACATACATACGTTACCAGGAATGGTAAAAATCTACGTCAATGTGGAATAAGGCTATGGAATGTTAACAAAATGATAAATTTGAAATTATCTTACAATAAATAACCTTGACGTAACCGCCAAATTTTGATAGTAGTTTTGAAGATTTCGGTGTTTAAGAAATATCGTAATAACGCTAAACTGTTGATATTAGTTGTACATATAGATTATAGAAAATGTGAACTTTTCAAACTAAAAAAACTTAGTACCTACCTAGGGTACCTTGACAACTAAATATATTCCAGGTAGGTATATAAAGCATAAAATGAAGATAGCTGTTAGTACACAAACACTTAATTTTTATGTACCAAAGGTAGTTACTGTATATCAATATGTTTACGAATTTTTATTGCCCCCAAGAATAATATTTATTGGCACCACATACCTAGTGCAGTGGCAACGTCGCTTTGTTGCGAAGCAGTCTTAAACCAGCCGGTTCTTTGTTCAAAATGATGGCACAGTAACGTCTTTTATTTTGATATTCCCGCTTCCCGCGCTTATTATCAAGCTTTTTTAAAATAATTAACTAATTGAATAGCAATTGTTTGTGAAGAGAAATATGCAACAGCGTTTAATGTAATGTCCTGCGGTCAAGTGGTTTATTTTTAGTACTCGATATTGATATCGATGCGTAAAACATAAACAAAAATATATGCTACGAACGATAATAGCAGAACAATTGAAACAATTGTAATTTTGATTATCTGAAGTGTACTAATTCCGTTTTAACAACAAAAAAAATGTGATGGAAACGAGGATTGAAATAAAGTCGGTGGTGTCACTTACCTTCTAGTCGCCATGCGATCCTTTACAAGTCGACAAGAAAAATTATTAATGACGATAACAATATTATTCAATGGGCGGCTATAACAACACACATTAACAAACGAGCAACAATATAAATATGCACAACAGACTACGACGATGAAACAAGCGGTCGATACACAGCTCTCAACTTCGGTGTGTCGCGGCACAATGGATGAAGCTTGGCGCGGACCGTTGTGCCGGTTGCTGGAAGGGATGGAGCCACGTGAGGGACAGCTGCGCGAGGGGAGATTGCTGTGTATTGACGCAGCCACCCCAGGCCCACACCCCTCTTCGGGCAGTGGCAACGGGTTAACAAGAACGCGGTTGCCAACGTTCGTCTACCGAGCATGTGAATGAAGTATTTATGTAGGAGGATGAAATCAACCTTTGTTTCCTCCAACACTTCCATTCAAATTTTAACGGAAAAAACGAAAAATTTTTTCGTTATAATTATTCCCTACAACAAGAACCGTTAAAAACGCAAGGAAATGACACCAAAAGTCCTTTATTATTGTCACAAGGAAAATGATAATCATCACGGTTGTTTTGCATTTATTTGCAATTAAAAACAATTTTTCTGTGGATTTTCAATGATATGTCCTATCCAAAAAAAAAACATCAAAACTTATCTACCTACATATTTTTTTAATTTTTTTGCAAGTAGGTAGATATTTAATTGTTTATTAAAATAGATACTAAAATTAAAATGTTTTAGAACAGGGCTACTGCATAAGTGAACGTACCCATACTACGTGACCTATTTTTACCCCCTTTCTTTCTCGGATAACTACCCATAGTATTTACCAAGACCCCCTCCCCTTCTCTTTCACGTAGTAATTCATGAATATGGTTTTAAGTAATTTTTTTTTCAAACAGAAAGGTTTGAACACAGTTCGAAAAAACGCGAGATTTCTCTAGAGGATATTGACCACATGACGAAAGCGTAATACCCCCTGTCCCTGTGTCCAAGCGTGGTATTTTTGAAGACCCCCCTCTGACGGGTCAAGTAGTAAAGGTACGGTCCCCAAGAGCGTACCTAAATGATCTATTTCATAATTTTGGGCAACTACAGGTAGGATAGGTACGTTTACGTTATATAATATAGCGTATATGTATGTTAGCACTTAGGAATATCATTGCTTGATAGGTGGATTTGCTAAAAACACAACTGACTGCTGTAATGCCTCTAATCGAACTTAAATATGGAGTAGAAACTTACTCATGCGTAGTTCTGTAGATAGAAATAAGAAACGATTTGAAATTTACACATTATGTTTATGTAAGGATGTGCTCTAGATAGATACCATCCCTATATGTATACACAAAGAGTTAAAAAATGTTCTTTGCCTTAACTGAGGTGGGATATAGTCGGGCATAGTTTTTAAGGAGACACCAAGAACAAAGATACGTGTTTTGTTCTGTTGGTGATGGAAGTTAATCATTTGGGGAAGAGGAATCATTATAATTGAATACTGTTGTTAGAGATTTTTTGTTCTATCTCAGTAAAGTGATAAGAGATAGCCTTCTAAAATTTTCATAGATTGTGGCAGTGACGTGAAAATTGGCAAATTCAAAAATTTTAACGAGTTAGAAATAGATTTCTATTTCTGGAGAAGAATCATAGACGTTCCTTCTAATCGAAGACATAAGAGGAAAACAAAACTTAGATGAAACAGCCACGAACACAGAGTGAAGAGTGAGAATCAAGAGATTAACAAAATAAGAATGATTATGGTCACCAATCGGCAGAAGAAAAAGAGGAAGACCCTGGAATAACTGGATCAAAGGAATTATTAACTAAATGAGAGAACAAGAAACAAAATATTAACACCAAGGAATCTCCTCATACACAAAAATTGGCAAATTTTTAAGGAATTTCATTTTGACTATTAAACCTGCACCTACAAAATAATTTGTAGTTAAAACATCGAACAGTGGTACATCAGAATGGTACGGAATCTTCAGTTCCAACAGTAATAAAATAAAATTCCAAACTACTTTTTGTATTAGCTCGTGTACTTTAACAACTTCATTACATATTGAACGGGTTGTATAGGTTAATAAATGTTAACATTACAAGTGAGTAAGAGAACTCTCGTTATGCACAGTGTCGTTGCCCTTGTGGAGTCGGTCATTTCCTTTACTCTCATTGATTTTTTTAACGTGCGGTAAATTTTCCCGAGATTGTAGGGAAAACGATCATTTTCCTCGCTTTTTCTTCGTATCTTCACCCCTGCTAGACAGTCAACTATTTCACCGTTCATTCCTTCCGACCAAACCAACCAACGTAGATATCGATCGTAGAAGGGACTGAAATACTCGGGAAATTTCCCCTGTCTAATACGTACACATAATAATGTAAGTGAACGTCTGGAAAGTTCAGGTGGCGCTGCTACACTTTAGGAACCTGTTTATTTGTATGTTTTGCACAAATCTTTTGTTAGAGTTCAAGTTCCCCGCTATCGATTTCATTAATAAATTATCTTAAACATGTACGGTCGCGTATTGATTGAGGGTGTTATTCGGACAACATATGTAAAATACCAAATGGTTAGGACTTAGGTTCAACTGCTTCTTGAACCGCGTCCGATAAGGCACCTTTTTTGTTTTATATTAGTAGATAATTATTTCCATAATAAAATATCAAATTACGATAAAAGAATCCATTAGTAATTATTACCAAATGGTTAGGACTTAGGTTCAACTGCTTCTTGAACCGCGTCCGATAAGGCACCTTTTTTGTTTTATATTAGTAGATAATTATTGCCATAATAAAATATCAAATTACGATAAAAGAATCCATTAGTAATTATTACAAAATATTAAAAATGAACATGATGGTTGCTGATCGGTTTTGGGAGACTTTGTTGAACTTGCTGTCATCAAATCAGACATTTTCCGATTCTTCTTTAGCAAATTATCCATTTTTACAGATTCGGCCCATTTGCTGTCTTACTCTGATCATTAGTGTAACCCGCGGTACAAACAAAATTTAAAATTCAATTGAACTTCTTATAAACTTCAACGTTTTCTTTAATTAAAAATTATGCGGCATTTTTATCATGATGATCATGATTGCTAAATTATAAACCCAAGAAAATTTTACTTCCTGCACGAGAAACGGTGAAAAATTGTACAGGCACGCGCTAGGGGTGGAAACAAATATGTAGTCTGAGGAGTTATCCACTGTTCCTGCCAAAACTCAAGGCGTCTTGGGTTAAACAGAAATTAAAGTGTATACAACTGTGAGGCTCAGTCTTGACCCATGTACATAAAAAATCTGGTTACGTCCCTGTGTACATTATTTTGATTTTTTGTACAAGTACAAGTAAAGTAATATATCCATTGTTTTCACTTCCATCACATCAACTGTAAAAGTCCAGCCCTAATCTCTAAAGTAAAGTTGTTAAAAATATACAATTTGTAGACTTATGTCACTGTTCAGGCCTCTTTACATATATTTTAAACATTTTCATAAGCACCTGTTTAATTCAAGTTGACTGCTCAGTACAATAATTAGATTTTAACAAAATAGCGATCAAAACGATTGAAACGTGCAAGTCACTGCTTCGAAATTAAGTATGTTGTGCTTTAAATTCAAGGAAATGATGGTATTTTTGTCGTTTTAAAAGTAATTGTTCGAGGAAGAAAAGCTACAGCGACATTTCAAAGATTATTGGAGAATTTCTATTCGTTAGCAATTAAAAATATCTCGGGGTGAGAGAGACATTTCTGACGAAATAAGTGATGTAAAAATTTATTTGAACTGAGTAAAAACGCAAGTCGCAAAGTCTCATCGAATTTCATTTAAAGAAAGCGGGAGAGTAATTGAATATATCTCATCAATTTTTTAATTCAAGGAATCTACACATTATTATAGGTACACATTTATAACAGGTAACAAGAAAATCCATTAATTTTTTTTAACGTTTCTTTGGGTAAAGTAATTCTCAAGTAAAGGGAAGGAGGGGGGGTCCCTTCACATCTTGCCAAATCTCACGAAGGGAGAGGGAGGAATCCAAATTAAAAGAAAAACACTTAATTAATGGAGTTTTTTTTGTTTATTGGTTGGTTGGATTCATACCTAAACTAACATCAGTAATTAACGGTTTCCCTGTTAAAAAAAATTATTAATTATTATAAAAGTTCCCTCTAACATGAAAAATTTCCAAAAATGAACTTCAGACACAATGAAAATAGGCTCGTGTAGGTATTTACAGATTAATCTTCCGGCTTGTTTTTTTTCTTGATCTTGATTTCACTTACAAAGTAATATGTAACAATATAATGCAGAAAAATGTAGTATAAAAGGAATACTGTAAACGGAATGTTTAACAGCAGTTAACGGTGACTCTTTGTTCACGAATATAAATCCAATGGGCGTGGTATAAGCGGTATTGTTTTATTGGATACAGTCCGGTCCGCTTATAAAGAGCACAGCCTGTAACGAGTATCCAGTTTTAACAGCCCTTTTAATATAAATTGAGTTCGGATGTAACAGAAGCTTCTGTTTGAACAAGCAATGGTTTTCTGCCTATAGCAAGCAATTGTTTTGGCTTGAAAAGGTTTTAGTCGGGAGGTCCGAGGACACCTTCCTCGGGAATCCGACACTACCCAGTCCTATGTCTACTCTTGGCGCTCTTGGCAACTCTGTTGTTCGTTATTGAGGTGCGCGCACTTGGATACGTTTCAGTTGGGTGCCTTTTTGTCCGTGAGGTCCGACGACCCTGTCGCTACCACCCTGTCAGTAAATGTAAATTCCTGGTGACAAAATGTCACTTTGATTCACAAATATTGCTAACGTAATCACCATTGAGTCCTCCCCTTCCGCCCTCCATATCATCAAAAATTAACAATGCAGAGATCTCCCCCCACTTGGTGCTTACGTAATACTTAAATGGCCCCTAAAAATGGTGTTCATGTTAAATTCCAAGCAAAATGTGTTTACATTAAGATGATGTAGACAGCAACATACTGATAGACACAATAAAAATGCGATTTTCGATCATTGCATCCTTGCAAACATTATGTAAAACTTTCTATTTGCTAATCTATAACTTCACAGTATTAATCCAATGCTCTTTACTATTGTAGCTTTTCTTATTCCTAATAACAAGTGCATAGATAATTGACACCTTGAGATCCATCTTGCCGAACACGAAACTGGTGCGCGCGAGGCCTTAGTCTTGTAGAAGTATGTGTGCTTCTGCGGCTATGGCAAATTCTCGAATAAGAAAAA